GGTCATCAGATCGCTCTCATATGCGTTCATGCCCCGAGAGGTCTATTCAGACTTTCGTTTTTTGTCCCTCCCTCCTTGCCTCAGCGACGAAACCTTCATCCCTGCTGCACTTCTTTGCACACGCGGAAATGATCTTAGTATCCCAGCGTGTGCCATAGAAGCACAGTATAGCAATGAAAATTGTTCTACTATTTTGTCAAAGCAATAACAACAGTATTGCAGAGGACATTTATCTGATCAGAAGGATCTGGATCTTAAGAGAAGAATATCAATTTCTGAGTTGAAGTGGAATAATTCTTCTCACAAGTGCTTTTTGACTTAAGAGAAGAAACAAATGCTTTCTAAAAGAATTTTTATTCTTCACTGACAAATAATAATGCTTCAGTGGGGACGAAGAGTTGTTTCATCTCAATTCTTACCAGAAGCCTAAAGTGTGGTTCTGAAGTATAAAAGGCAAATTTTAAAGTTTGTATTTTTCACAATACATTGTTATACTGTATACACTCCTATCACTCCCGTTGCTCCTGTCAGAGTGATAGGTGAAGAATTCACATCTTGCTGTTTATAGAACCAAAAAGAGAATAAACGAATAGGAACCAATAGCTTACTCTTCAAGTTTCTTTGTCAAGTCATTATCGTGCAAAAGCAAAAAAATCGAACCCTAGCTCGGCAAGTAATTCATGGTAGTCGGAGTCTATATGGAGACTACCATGAATTACTTGCCCCTAGCTCACTGGAAAACGTGAATGCCAGCGCTACAATATAGTGCAAAATAAAGATTAATTACTCAAAAATCTCATCAAATCTTGACTTACCTTGTTCCTTGGTATTTGTTGTACTCTTTCAAAGTATTAATTTCTGTATTGGCGATGCCAAACACATGGCAAACAACTGAAAACAAGCTTGATCTCGAGTGAATATACCTCGAACACGATGGGCACCATTTTGTATCTCATCCCAGTCCCTGCCGTGCTTCTACATCTCAAAAGCATGTCCAGCTTTTAACACGGCACATTGTGAGGAAACAAGCATGGTGACCCTCATGTTTTTTTTTTCGGTATTTGCTAAGAACAGTCTAATAAAGAACATATTTAAAGGAAACAAAGTTTCATAGTAGAAAATGATTTTTTTTGGAAAATGGTTCCATACTTGGTATTCGTAAGCTTATCTAAAGGCTCGTTGCATGAATCGGCATAGACGTACCCGACATAATTCCATTGGCAGTACAAAGACTCTTGCAGAGAGAAATAAACAAATAGTCTTTGGGAAGTGTGCCGGCTGAAATTTTGACAGGCATCACATAGAAATCACAGTGCTGACTGACACATTGTTCGAATCTATTTCAGTGACCTATCTCAATACATAATAAAAAAGGTAAAAAAAATTTCCTTTCGTGAGCAAGGACACACAGATGCATCAAGCTCTTGTCGCTCCGCAATTTTTCATTTTACTCTAGGCCACTGACAATTTCGATTGGCCGTGCGACTAGCTAGTAGTACGCTCAGGTTAGCCAACTAGGCCGGGTATGAGGAAATGCAAAGTCAGGATGACAGGAAAAAAGGCATCTATGAACTGATCAAATAGTTTATATAGGTTCAGTTAAAGCTCAAATTCATTCTTCTAAAAGTTGGATATGTAAAATCGCTGTCGGTGAGCATTTATCATCTTGCAGAGAAAAAGTATTTCAGTAAAACATCCAACTGATGGACCAAAGAAAATTACTTAGTTATTCAGATCCAGAAGGAATGTTAGAGGAAATTATAAAAAGGCAAACCTTTATATTTTTAAAACTTTTATCCTTGTTTAAAGAGCTGCACACTTCCAAAGAGGTAAAAGAAAATGCCCTTGAATCAGAGGGCAAATCCTGCCGACCAGGAACAAAACCACAGAAAATAAATACGCGACGTTACTGGAGAGTGACACTTTGTTCGTCGTAAAATATTTTGTGGAAACGAGTCAGTTTGTCTTGGTAGGTCTCGTATTAGAGGGGTAGGTGTTTTTCGCATACCTTGTTCGGTGTAAAACCGTTCTCCATAAAGGAGTGTAGGCCTACTTGATACAAATCTTTTTTTACTGAAAACACTGATGTTTGCGGAGTTATTTACGCGGACCTAAACAAATCCCTGAAAGCAAAACCCGACATTTCCAGAGTCACTGATCAACTTCTCGCCGAAATTGTTATCTTCCACTGATGCCCATGACCATTATCTTCGTCATGTTTCACATATAATCGCAAAAACATTAAATTTTATTCCAATCAACATTTTTCACCGGCAAAGAAATATGTTAATTTAATTATGTTAACCTAAGCACAAGCGAAATTAAATTGTCCAGAGCTTGGAAATCTCAGGGTAGCAAAGACATCAAGTGGAAACCCTGACCGTCGACCCTTGACCAATGTAAAGGAACAAATTAAGGATTTTGTCGCCAGACAAAACGTTTTTAGGCCTTTAAATATTCTCGAAGGAAACCGTTGAGGTTTGCTAGGTCAGGAGAATCGTTCTCATTAGAAATATCCCTTCCTGTTGACAGATCTATTGCAAAACAAACAAAATTTTGTGTAGTGCGAGTAGAGCCTGTGACTCCAATTTTCATGTAAAATATTATTTAACTTTATGCCCTAAAGAGGCATTACCAGACACTTGCATTTGAAGTACAGCCTAATAATATCGAGAGATTAATCTGTTATCATATAATTTATATTTTGCAGTACTGAATCCTTGCTCGTTTGTTGTTTGAAGAGCTTCATCGAACACCGTTACCTTTATCTTACAGAGGTTTTGGTGTAAATGTCTGCAGGGTTTTTTTTTTTTGGACATTTACAGTATTGTTTGTTTGGTAGTTTTCTTAATTTCACAATGGCTTGTGAAACGCCTCAAGGTTGGGGTGGAAAAAAAAACTTTTGTTCAAATTGCCTGTACAGGTTTCACAAAGCTTTTGCAGTGATTGCTAGTAATCGCTTTTGCTGTGAACAGTTGTCCATTATCCTATAAACCTTTCACAGCGATTGCAATCAGTGATCGGTTCCGGCAATTTTACTTTTCACAAAAGATGAGGATTACGAAAATGAAAAATGTTTCTAAATCAAGGTCTTTATTTGTATTTTACACTCAAGACAAAAAAGGATACCTTTTTTAGACTTGCCGTTATGAAAACCTAAGAAAAGTGCCCCCTTTTCTCGTAAAAGGCCAGACATTATTAGGATTTGTCTTCGGTATAAAGTGAACCAACTTTCTTGAATAATATTTATATCTCACTGATCACAAAAAAAGCTGGCAAGAGAAATTTCTCGAGTTTGTTCAGCGTTTTGCCTTTTTATACAAAGTCGAAAAAAGTTGTCAAAAAAAGGCGGGAATCCCGATCTTCGGGCCTCTCAACTGACAGCTGTCAAAAAATGGCCGGAAATTCTGAGCAATCCTGACGTTTATATCTACAAGTGTTTATGTATAGTTGCACACGTTGTGTTTAATGCTTCAAGATGTCAGACGTTTACATCAAGATTAAGATGGACAAGAAAAGGGTAAAAGATAAGTCTTCAACTCTAAACAATGGTAATCTGGACATGATGTTCAGGCTTGATCTAAACCAGGGGATCTACATTTCCTCCAAAGACGGGGAGATAATTCTCCCATCAGATACTGGCTTTTACCACATCGAGGACTTGGAGAGGACGTACTTTGTAAACGGTCAATGAATGAGTCCGAACTCAGTTAGCTCAGTAGTGCCCACAGTGCAGCTTACATCCCTTGGTATACCTCTTTCCTACCAGAGGAAGGCCACAAGAACAAATCTCAACCCTCCTCCCAGAGAGAGTACGCAGGCCGTACTAAAATGACTTACCTTCACCACCACAAAGAAAGGTCAAGTGGTGTGGAAAAAAATTAGGCTTTGAAGTGATTCTTCTGGATGCAAAACATTTGCCTGTCATGGGTGGAGAGACCACAAACGGTAAGTTGCTTTAATACGTTGGTTGGTTACTAAAAGGATTGAGCTCTGCAACAGTGGTCTAATATTGCCTAAAATGACAAGGTATTGAAGATGATCTAAAATGGTCTAAAAAATGATGATTAGAAAGTGACCAAAAACTCCTACAATTAGTGATCTACTGAGACAAAATTGAAACTTGAGTTTTTTGCACCGTTCTGCCCCAATCAAAACTGTGTTGCTGGGCAAATTCCATGCTGAGTGATACACCGTTTGCTCTGCACCAATCAAAACTGCATTGCTGGGCAGACCTTTAAACTTTAATACTATATTGCGTGACTATGCAGCTAACATGTGTAATCCGGATGTCTATCAACATGACTTGAAAAAGTGGGCTCTGTATGCCTCCGTGGAAAATTACTAATTAAAAAATTAAAAATAAATAAATTCATGCAAAGATTGGCAAAAGTTGCAAGGTTGCATGCAGGACAACTTTATGAAAGTTTAGATACCTTCCTCAGGGTGTCTGTAAACCAAGGAACAGGCCGGACAATCCGGAGCCCCCTTGGAATATCCCTGGAACACCCCCAGAATCCAAAAACAAGAAAAATGTAATTCTTAAAAACCAAAATAATTATAGAATAATAGTGAGTTTACGCACGTTTAACACCTCACCATTGCTAATGCTATAAAGAGTATAAAAAGCATGAAATGGTAAAAAGGTAATGCGTTAAGTTTTGAAAAGGCCTGTCGCATTTCTATGGCAATCAAACCGACATCAATACAGAATTGTTTCCTTTCATGCCTTCAGTGTCAAATCTGATTATCTAATATTTTCCTGTCACTTTTTGGACAGAGAATCCTTGGACACACTATTAACAAGGTTCCAGCGTGAAAAACTGGGTGACAAAGATACTGAGTTCCAGATTATCCGAGTGAGGAGAAAGCACTTGTGGGAGGACACAGTAAGATCTATTTCTAAAAACGCATTCAAGCAGAATCATAGCATCAAGGTTCATTTTATTGGGGAGGAGGCCGAGGACGAAGGAACGTCGAAATTCTTGCGTCTCACAGTGATGGCTGTCTGCAATTTTTCCGGGGTGCTACAAGGCCCAGAGTGTCGGAAAACCTTTAGCAACAATCCATTGTTGATGGAACGTAATGCCTATTACTGCTCTGGTCTTGTTACTGGAATGTCACTTCAACAGGGGGATCCAGGACTACGCTGTCTTTCACCTTTGCTGTTTGACTATTTTGTAGCTGGGCCATCTTCGTCCAGGCCAATACCACTGGATGTGGCAGACCATGACATGAGAAAGAAAATTGAAAAGGTACAACTGGCAGACACGCATCTACATGAGTTAATGATAACTCGTAAAATGAATAGAAATAAAAACGTTAGCGAGAGACTTTAAAAAAGGGAAAAAAATTGACGCAGTATCAACCTAACTGAATTTTAATTTCAGGAATTGCAGAAATTTTAAAATAAACCCTCTTCAAGCTTATTTGTTTTGTGTCAATTGCGGAGACTTATTGGAGACGTATTATCAGGGCATCTCATCAATCCAAGTCCTTTAACACGGGATGCCTGTTTTTGCCACTTTATTTTTAGCGCAAACCCTCCCGCAGCTATCAGGCTGCACTTTTTGTTTTGCAGATATCTGAAGCTGTCAATAAGAACCAATTTGATCGAGCAGTAAGGGAGGAGTCGCAATTCATTATCGAGTGTGGAATTAGTAAAATTAACTGGGATTTTAGTGAAAAGAGCGAACTAGAGCTATTACTGTGTAAAATTTAGTCATTTATCGCAACAAGGCAGCGTTAGGTCAGTCTCTTGAAGGCCTTCAGCACTAGGCCTTCTAAAATATGTCAAGGAAAATCCAACAGGGCTTAAAGACGTGTTTTGTATGTCACCCTTTCCTCTTACTGTGGATTCCTTTCAGAAATTGCTGAGGATAAACTATTCACATCCTAGTGGCAACAGAGGCAATCAGGCAAGAGAGGGGGAAGAGTTTTTGGACAACCTGGATCAGTCTGATCCACAGGGACTTCTCCTGCAGCTTTTAATTTTTATAACGGGTGCTGACAACAGTCCCGGTTTGGGATTTCCCAAAAATATTGACATAGATTTTTTTGATGTAGAACTCAGGTCACATCGTTTTCCTATGGCTTCCACTTGCGGCCTACAATTGCAATTACCAAGAGGCATTCATTCCTTTGATGAATTTGAGGGACTTATTGTTCGAGCTTTAAAAGAGAGGTCTCATGGTTTTGGTAAAATTTAGTAAACGTTATTAATCTAAAGTTACTGTAACAGTATGAGGAATTTAAGGAAAAGTATATGTATTGCGTAGTTAAGCAACCACAGAGGCCATTTTATACAAAATGTGTATTCAAAAATCATTTATTACTACTTAAGTGCCAAAATGTTCAATAA